GTAATTTACCTACGGAATACCTACTGAACACTATAATGACGGATTACCTACAGGTTACCGACGGGACCCACTTTAATTGACATTCACTTTATCACCTACGGATTTCCGACGGCTCATATTACCAACGGATTTTCCGTAGGTATTCCGTCACTAAATCTCTTTTTTTTTTTTTAAAAAAAAGCATAAAATAACAAAAATTCTAGTTTTTTCTCTCCAATATATTGACAAAACTCATTAGATTAAACTTATAATAATATTTAAACTCAACCACAAAACTAATAACATTACAACAAAACTAATAAACATCATCTAATACCTTAAAAAGTATCAAATACAAATGCATTACTAATGAACATTATCTAATAATATACTAAATGTGTCTAACAATACACCAAAAAACGTCCCTAATACCAACTTTGACACATTCCATTCTATTGTTCAAAATATCTTACAAAAGTAAATACTAATTAACATAACAAACAATACCAAATGTTTACAAATTCAATTGTTCCAAAACAGCTAGCTTAGCTCCATGGTCCATATATTGAAGTGTTTCAACAGGGGAATCAAGAAAGTGGAAACACACACTACACTTGGGCTCACCATTTTCAGCTTGTTTGTAAACTGAAAACAATTTAAACATTACTAAAATAAAGAAAACATATTAAAAAACATATACCTAACACAAAACGTACCTTCTTGTTTTATTGTTGTGACAATGTTGTAGGATTGTATCTTTTGAACTGGAATTGAGGTTATATACACAGATCTACAAACTCAAACATTTATGCAACTAGGTCAAGTAAGCAAATATCCATTAAAAACAAAAGATAAATAATTAAATATATAATATAGAATCATCTCTTACCAAACCAAGTTGATTTCCAACTGCTAAACCTAGTTCAATTCTAAAAATTACTGTTGGCGGACCTGTCATACACAAGATCAAAAACTTCATTCTCATGTAGAAGCCACAGTAGGATAATCACTGAAACTCATAAAAAAAAGTTGAATATTTACTCAAAATTGATTGATTTGATTCTCAATAAACTCAAAAGTCATATTGACCTCCTTACCCGTATGGAAGATTGCAAAACTGTGATTACCTGGATCACCAGCTTTCAGATCCTATTGAATTAGGAAATCCCAAACATTACTGTTGAACTTTACCACAAATCTAACATTTTTCAACCAAAATTTAACCTAAAATCTCAAATTCGACCTAAAATATAATTTAAAACCTCACATTCAACAAAACAAATCAGAATTATCAATTAATTAAACATCTAAATTGTATACATGAAGTAATTTCAGAAAAGAAAAGAAAAAAAAACTAGGGTTTTACCTTTTTAGGGAAGAAATCGAGCAAAGGTGCAAAGAGAGAGAGGAGGGCAATTGAGCCATGGAGTAATAACATTGGTCGCCTCGATAACAGATGGAGCAGAGGAGTTTGAAAAGGCATCAACAGTTTGAAGAAGGCATCGAACTGAACCCAAAATCAAAACACACCCTAAATCAAAACAAAGTCTAAATCAAAACCAATCCTAACCCAAAACGAAAACCTAATTGGAATTAAACCAAAAAAAAGCTTACTTGAAACAATGATGACAATGGCGATGGCAAGCAGAAGATGGCGATGGCAAGCCGATGACGGCGACGACAAGAAGACGACCGGAGCTAAAAAGAACGAAGACGAGAGGGGGTGTAAGGGGGAGGTGCGAGTAGGAAACAGTGAGAGAGAAGAGGGAAAACGAATCAGGGAGGGAGATAGAGAGAAGCGGGAGAAAAAAAATTTCGTCGATGGATCCCGCTAAATGGAGGCGGACAAAAGTTTCAATTTTGTGAAACCCTAAAATCGAAAATGCCAAAAAAAAAGGTGGTGGTGGGACTCGAACTCGCGTCTATCATGGATACAACCAAGGGGACTACCAACCGGCCAGGAATGCCACATCCATACCTTTTTCGTCTACAATAGTTTTTGACCACTTACAATTCTGTTTTTATTATTAATAATATTATTATTGTTGTTGTTATTATTATTATTATTATTATTATTATTTCTATGGTTATTATTATTATTATTATTTCTATTATTATTATAATTATTATTATTATTATTATTATTATTATTATTTTATTATTATTATTATTCATTATTCGAGTCTTAATTTTTTTTTTGGATAAATTTTCTTACATATTTAAGATACGAACAGTTAATAAAGGTGTGAAAAAAAACGAAGAAAAACGACCTTTGGTCGCCGAAAAATCGAAATTAAAAAACTTCGTAGCTAATTAACCCCGCCAGGGACTGCCGCCCCTCTCCCAGGGGCGCTGCCCCTGGACCCCCGTTCGTTTAGGGGCTTCTCCCCTAGATAACAATGTACTTTGAATCTTGAAAAACTTGAACAAGTGTGCACTCCTACACCATCCTAACTTGTTCAATATTGAACAAGATCACTTTTGGTCAACAATTTTAATCATATTACACTTAAATAATATTGATGATATAAAATCACCAACAAACCTCCCCTATTTAAGTGTAATCCTGATTAAACTTAAAACAAAACATAAACAACAACAAACTGATGCATAAATGATGACGATGAGGATGATGAGGATGATGATGATGATGATGACGATGACGATGACTATTGATAGTGTGATGGTGATGGTGATGGTGGTGGTGGTGGAGGTGGTGATGATGATGTTGATGGTGATGGTGGTGATGATGATGGTGATGGTGATGGTGATGGTGGTGGTGATGGTGGTGGTGGTGGTGATGATGGTGATGGTGATGGTGATGGTGATGGTGATGTTGATGGTGATGGTGATGGTGATGGTGATGGTGATGGTGATGTTGATGGTGATGGTGATGGTGGTGATGATGATGATGGTGTGATGGTGATGGTTGTGATGGTGGTGATAATGATGGTGATGGTGATGGTGATGGTGATGGTGATGGTGATGGTGATGGTCATGGTCATGGTCATGGTCATGGTGATTCAGACAGTATGCACCCAATACGGTATTTTAAGATAGTGATTTGAATGCCTATCCCCTGCCTATGCTAAGCCTTTACTACCTACCCTTACCTGTCCACCTTGAAGTCTTGAACTACTGTGCCTGCACATACCTTTTCTTGCTCCATCCAGAAGGTAGCTTGAACTGGCATTGTATCTCTCTATGTGTGTGTATATGAAATCGAGCAAAGAGGGTTCCACCAAACGGAGAGATGCGCACGGAGATACACCGAAAGATGCTTCGGGAGACACGCCGGAAGATGCGTCGGGAGAAACGCCGGAAGATGCGCCACTGAACGGAGGGAAAAAATCGGGAAATGGGGAAAGAGGAGTAAGAATGTATGTGTGAATGTATGTTTCTATGGGTATATATGAATGTATGTTTCTATGGGCATATATGAATGTATGTGTCAATGTGTATATGTATGTATGTATATGTACATATGTTAATGTGATTGTAATTTTAAAGTGTGAAAGGAGTAACCGATCAAAATGAGTGCGCCACTATAAACATCTAGGTATCAGGTATAAGTTGGGAAAACTATAGATAATCATTTACAATAGAGATACGAAAAAAACGAAGCGAAAAAAACAACGTCCAGTACCCGAAATGTCGAAAATAAATAAAAATCCGTAGGTAATCCGTAGGAAATTACCGACGGAATAGCGACGGACAGCCTCTTCCGTAGGTAATCCGTAGGTAATTTCTTACGGATTACCTACGGAAGGGGCTGTCCGTCGCTATTCCGTCGGTAATTTCCTACGGATTACCTACGGAATTTTTTTATTTTCGACATTTCGGGTACCGGACGTTGTTTTTTTCGCTTTGTTTTTTTCGCACCTGTATTATACATGATTATCTATATTATCACCAAATTATACCTAATAAATATGTGTGTATAACCACGTGCACCTTTAGATCCGTTACTCCTTTCGCACAGTTACTCCTTTCATATACATTCACACATACACACATATGTACATATACATACATACACATACACAATTACACAAACATTCACATAAAACCATAGACACATACATTCATAAAGGCTGGTCAATGTGTTTATGTATGAATATATGTGTATGTATGTATACGTGTGTATATGAATCTATGTGTATGTGTGAATGTGTGTCTAAGAATGTATGAGTGAATGTATGTTTCTACGGGTATATATAAATTTATGTTTCTATGGGCATATATGAATGTATATGTCAATGTGTATGTGTATGTATGTATACGTACATATGTTAATGTGATTGTAATTTTAAAGTGTGAAATGTGTAACCGATCAAAATGAGTACGCTACTATAAACATCTAGGTATCAGGTATGAGTTGGGAAAACTATAGATAATCATGTATAATAGAGGCGTGAAAAAAACGAAGCCAAAAAAACAACGTCCGGTGCCTGAAATGTCGAAAATAAAAAAAATCTGTAGGTAATCCGTAGGACATAATAATAAAAATAACGGAAATAATAATAATAATAATAATAATAATAATAAATAATAATAATAGTAGTAAAAAATTAATAAATTACTATTTAGCGACGGATTTGTGACGGAAATTAAACAAATTAGTCTTTTTGTCAGTGCCGTAGCTATTCCGTCGGTATTTACCGACGGATTTCCGTCGGATTTGTCTTCCGTCGGTATTCTGTAGGTATTCCGTCACAATATTGTCAGTAATTTAGGGCATCGTTTTCTGTCGGAATTCCGTAGGTATTCCGTCGGTATTTTCCGACGGAATATTTCCGTAGGAAAATTTCGTAGGTATTTTTAATTTTTCTAGTAGTGATAATAGACCGACAATTTGTAGATAGACGATGTTCAATATTATTGATATATCAAATAGCTAAAGAGATACAAATAATATAATAGTTGAGTAGATATCTTTAAAATACAAATTAAGTAGAATCCACATACTACAACCATATGGTGGTTTTATTTTAGGATTCTTGAATATGGGAATCAGATAATTACTCCTCATGATGATGAGAATACAAATAGCTGCTCGTGGCAGATGTAGCCTTTGCTGTAGATAATGCAGTGAAGCCGACATATTTGTTATCTTTCCGTTCTATGCATATCTTAGCAATATACTCGAAGGATTTGCGCTTCTTTACAAAGGGCTGGTTGGCGTATTCTTCAACAGGCATCCACTTAGCTGCTTCAATCTCTGAATCTTGCTTTTCGATCTCAAATGATATTGGTTTTAGCATACACACAAACATTAGATCCGACTTGCTAAAAAACGACATGTGGCTTTGCCTGTAGTGCATATGCACATATATGTCAGCTTACGTACGAATATACATATAGTATAAGTTTAAAGATTTCAAGTCTTTAGAGTTTTTTGGCATTTCTAACCTGAATGCGAGGACTTCCACAAATTCTGTATCGATCTGGAGAGATTAAGAAAAAACAGATTTTAGATGAAAAAAACAACTTATAGAAAATTGGAAATGGGTTTCGTTATGTTAATATTGAATAATACACTTCAATTTCATAATTAAAAAGTCACACAGTCGAGATCGAATACGTACTCTGTTGGAATCTCAATTCCTTAATTTCCTCCTTGTCTTCCACTCACCATATTTCCAGGAAAAGCAAAAGGAATACCATCAAGATGTTGGGTATCTTTTTCTATCTTATATTATAAAGCTTACTCTAACATACATATATATATATATATATATATATATATATATATATATATATATATATATAGCATATATCGAGTTATGAATATGCAGTACAACACAAACACAGTGTAAACAAGTTTGGTTTTGAGTTATATTTCCAAATCAATCAAAGAGATATTTTGATATATTTGTCTGTGTTTATACAATTGCTATACTAGAATTGTTTATACAATTGCTATACTATACAATTGTCATACTAGAATTGGTATCAGAGCTCAAGAACAGGGGCTTTGAATTCATACCTGGTGATCAAGAAGGACACCAGTAAAAGAAGATGTCAGATGTCGATGATACTGGAGGTGCTACTCCTCAGGTGAGGGAGAAGTTGATCGGTTCATCCAATGTCACATGTCCGATGCTCACACCCACAAATTACACTGTATGGGCGATGAGAATGAAGGTTGTGCTTCGAATCCACAAGGCGTGGATCGTGATCGATCCAGGAACCGACCAAAATGAAGAAAAAGATTGCTTAGCCATGGGACTGCTATATCAATCCTTGCCAGAAAACCTGATAATGCAAATCGGTGAACAAGAATCAGCAAAGAAACTCTGGGATGCAATTAAATCAAGAAACGTGGGGGCTGAAAGAGTGAAAGAAGCAAGGCTACAAACCTTAATGACGGATTTTGATCGGCTCAAGATGACAGAGTCTGAATCGATAGATTCCTACGCCGGAAAGTTGTCCGGTATCGCCTCCAAATCAGCGGCCCTCGGAGAAACGATAGACGAGTCTAAACTCGTCAAGAAGTTCTTGAAAACACTGCCACGATCGAAGTTTATTCAGATCGTCGCCTCGTTGGAGCAGGTACTCGATCTGAAGACGATCAGATTTGAGGATGTTGTAGGTCGACTAAAGGCGTACGAAGAAAGGACAAGAGAAGATGATGGCGGAAACGAGCAGAGGGTTATGTTCACTCGAAGTGGTGAAGGTTCAAACCACGGTGGTGGCTGGAGCGGTGGAGGTGGTTCTGGTTCAGGGGGATCGTCGGGAGGGAAGAAGGAGTCGAATAAGGGAAGAAAAGGGGGTTCGGGGGGTTTTAATCGAACCGGGTCAGGTGGATCCGGTGGAGCCGGGTCTTCAAATGGATCTGGGTCAAAATCAACCCAACCCAATAATAAGCCCAAACAGCCCAATAACCGGCCCAATTCCAATTCGGACTCAAACCGAAACCCGAAAAAAGATCTGTCGAAGATTATATGCTACAGATGTGACAAGTCGGGCCATTACGCATCAAAATGTCCGGACCGAACCCAAAAATTCCAAGAAAGTAATTTTACTGAACACGACGATGCCGATGAAACAGTATTTCTACACGAGTCCGTGTTTTTGAACGAAGAGAAGGTGATACCGTCTCGATACAACTCACAAGAAAACGATGTGTGGTATTTGGACAACGGGGCAAGTAATCACATGACGGGAAATCGTTCATTTTTCTCCGAACTCGACGAAGGAATAACCGGAAAGGTCAAATTCGGTGATAATTCGTGTGTCGAAATAAAAGGGAAATGCTCAATTGTTTTCCAAGGAAAATCGGGGCAACAACGATTGATAACGGAGATTTATTTCATTCCGGATTTGAAAAATAATATTTTCAGTCTCGGACAAGCAACCGAAGCCGGGTGCGATATTCGGATGAAAGACAACTATTTGACAATGCATGATGCCGACAACTGCTTATTAATGAAGGTACAAAGAACTCCAAACCGCCTTTATAAAATACAGTTGTCCATTGGAGTACCTATTTGCCTTCATTCAAGACTAAGTGAAGACACGTGGCGCTGGCATGCAAGACTTGGACACATCAATTTCGAGTCAATGAAAAAGATGTCCAAGAAAGGTCTAGTCAAAGGGTTACCCTATTTTGACAGTGAGAATCAATTGTGTGAATCTTGCTTGGTGGGCTAGCAAACAAGAAAGTCATTTCCATTAATGACGACGTACAAAGCAACACGACCATTGGAGCTAGTTCACGGTGATTTATGTGGTCCGATAACACCGTCAACGAAGGGTCAAAATCGATACATTTTCACACTAATTGACGATTTTTCACGGTATATGTGGATTTTTCTCTTAAAAGAGAAAAATGAGGCGTTTTTACACTTCAAAAAATTTAAAGCTTTGGCGGAGAATGAGCTCGGAAAGTCTTTAAAGGTGTTTCGAAGTGATCGAGGAGGTGAATTTACTTCGCTCGAGTTTAATTCCTTTTGTGATATAAATGGAATCAAACGCCATCTTACCGCCCCATATTCACCACAACAAAACGTTATTGTGGAACGAAGAAACAGAACACTTATGGACATGACACGAAGTATCATGAAGGCAATGCATGTTCCAAACTACCTATGGGGAGAAGCGGTAAAACATTCCACAAACCTGATCAACCGTGTTTACACAAGAGTACTTGGTGATACAACTCCGTACGAGAAGTTGTATAAAAGAAAACCTAATTTGGAGAACGTACGCATCTTTGGGTGTTTAGCGTATGCAAAAGTTGAACCGGTAAACGTGAAAAAATTGGATGCAAGATCAAGACCATTGGTTCATCTTGGTTCTGAACCGGGTACAAAAGCCTATCGGTTATTTAACCTGGTTACACAAAAAATAATCGTAAGTCAAGACGTTATTTTTAATGAAACCAAAGGATGGAATTGGGTTAACGAAGCTACACCTGACAATGAAGAACCAGGATCATTCATAGTACCATGGGATTTACCGGAAGATGAGGCAAACAACAACCAAGGAAACGATGTAAACAACGAACCAAACGAATCGGATCACGAGATTGAAGACGGAGTGGAGGTACAAGAAAATGAGCAACCAAGTCCGGTCAACAACAACGTAAACAATGTTCAAAACCAAAGGCCCACAAGACCAAAGGTGCTTCCAATTTGATTACGAGATTATGTACTTTATGTTGATGACATTGAAGAACTTCTCCTAGCAACCAATGACGAGCCGGTATCGGTTGAAGAGGCAAAGAAAGAACCAGAGTGGGTCAAAGCCATGAATACAGAGATCAATTCGATCAACAAGAACAATACTTGGTCTCTCGTAAACAAGCCTATGGGGGTGAAGCCCATTGGACTCAAATGGGTGTTCAAGCTGAAGAAAAATGCAGATGGCACCATAAACAAACACAAGGCAAGATTGGTTGCTAAAGGGTACGTACAACAACCTGGTATTGACTTTCAAGAAGTATTTGCTCCGGTAGCTCGCATCGAAACCATACGGTTTCTCATTGCCTTAGCCGCTACCAATGGATGGGAGCTTCACCACTTGGATGTCAAGACGGCTTTCTTACATGGAGAGTTGAGAGAAACCGTCTATGTGTATCAACCGGAAGGCTACATAAGGAAAGGCGACGAGCACAAGGTGTACCGGCTTTCAAAAGCACTATATGGTCTTAGACAAGCACCGAGAGCATGGAATACAAAACTTGATGGGATTTTGAAAGGAATGAAATTTCACAAGTGCATGAAAGAACCATCGGTGTACCGGAAGAACGAAGGATCCAACTTGCTAATTTTAGCAATCTATGTTGATGATTTGTTTGTCACAGGTACAAATTTGAGCATGATCAAAAGGTTCAAATTTGAAATGTCCAAGAACTTCGAGATGTCTGATCTTGGAAGATTAACTTACTACCTGGGCATTGAAGTCAAACAGGATGAATCGGGGATTACAATAAACCAAGAAGCGTTTGCACAACGCATTCTGAAGGAAGCCGGTTTACATGATTGCAATCCTACCCACATTCCCATGGATCCAGGAACCAAAATGTCGAAGGCCGAAGATGAACCCGAAATCGACCCGACACAATACCGAAGGTTGGTAGGATGCCTTAGATATCTCTTGCAGACAAGACCCGATATGGCATATGCGGTTGGAGTTGTTAGTCGATACATGCAAGATCCAAGAGAATCACATGGTGTTGCAATCAAACACATCCTAAGGTATTTACGAGGAACAACGGGATACGGAATCAAGTACGAGAGGATGGGACAAAATCGAATAATTGGTTACAGTGATAGTAGTCATAATGTTGATCCAGATGACGGAAGAAGCACAACTGGTCATATTTTCTACTATGGGTTGTCTCCAATAACATGGTGTTCTCAAAAGCAAGATACTGTTGCTTTATCATCTTGCGAGGCGGAGTTCATGGCTACAACTGCGGCTGCATGTCAAGCAATATGGCTTCAAGATTTGCTAGGCGAAATCATGAACAAAGCACAAGAGAAGGTGGTCATAAGAGTTGATAACAAGTCAGCTATCGAACTCACGAAGAATCCTGTTTTTCACGGAAGAAGCAAACACATTCACACGAGGTTTCACTTCATTCGTAAGTGTGTTGAAAAGGAACAAGTGGAGGTGAAGTACATTCCAGGTGAAGAACAAAAGGCAGACATTCTCACAAAACCATTGGCTCGAACCAAGTTCAAGACAATGCGGGACTTGATCGGGATTGAAGACATCTTTAGAAGGACTTAAAGATTGGCGGTGATCGGGAATCTCTAGAAGGACTTAGAGATTCGGGGGTGATTGTTGGAATCTCAATTCCTTAATTCCCTCCTTGTCTTCCACTCACCATATTTCCAAGAAAAGCAAAAGGAATACCATCAAGATGTTGGGTATCTTTTTCTATTTTATATTATAAAGCTTACTCTAGCATATATATATATATATATATATATATATATATATATATATATATATATATATAGCATATATCGAGTTATGAATATGCAGTACAACACAAACACAGTGTAAACAAGTTTGGTTTTGAGTTATATTTCCAAATCAATCAAAGAGATATTTTGATATATTTGTCTGTGTTTATACAATTGTCATACTAGATACTCCAGTCTCTTCTTTCACTTCCCTGATCGCAGCTGTACAAATATCTTCACCCTGAGAACGGAATATATATATATATTATATATATATATATATATATATATATATATATATATATATATATATATATATTATATATATATATATGATCAATCGTATTAGTAAATCATATATAGCAAAGTCTTTAATTAATTAGTAAAAGTAAGATGCAAACCTCCTCAACACTACCAGTTGGTAATTTCCAGACCCCTGTGCCTTTGAACACTCCACTTTTCTGTTGCACTACAAGAATCTAAAACAGGAAATACACAAAAAGTTCTGATTAAAAAATATATGTAGTTGTTTGCATGTTTTTATTTGCGATATATAATTAAAGAGAAAAGATAGAGATGATGAATGTAGAAAGGCAACCTCCCCTTCAGAGTTGACCACAAAAGCAGCAACACCGACTCGATGAGAAGCATTTGATGGGAGAGTATGATTAGTTTCAGGAATCCAATACACCAGCATCAAGTATGTTGGTTCAGCATGATGATACCAAAATCCTTGCTAGACAAGTTAAAATTAACATCACCATCAGACAAACAAACACATTCGATGTTTCCTGTTTTTTGTTTCTTTTTTCGAATTTACTCTTTAAAACTCTTGCCCACTAATGTTGATTATGAATCATAGTTTCTTTATTTACGTACCTTCACTGCAGGCTTAACAAGACTCGCAAACTCAAGAGACAGTTTAAGCCAAACTCCCTTCTTTCCCTGCAAAATATATATGATAAAAATCCAAGTGTTCATTGCATATAGAGAATTAATTAACTCACAAGCCAATTAGGAGCTGTGGTGTAAGAGCATTTCTTAAGGTTTATTGTTGGAACAACGGTAGGAAAAAGGAAAGATTACACAGAAAATCGAGGATGTGAAATAACACTCCCATAAACCTCCTTAAAATACAAATTAAAAATAGGCAATATTGATCCTACAATCTTTTCTCATGAAAAAAGTATATTTTTTTTTGCACTATAAGGTTCATACTTTTGAATGATCATTCTTTTTCTATCTATTTTCTCCAATAACCAATTGCTTAATACTTTTTTCATGAAAAAAGTATTAAGCAATTGGTTATTGGAGAAAATAGATAGAAAAAGAATGATCATTCAAAAGTATGAACCTTATAGAGCAAAAAAACCCCTGATCACAAGTTGAAACATTTCATGAACATGGTGCCAATTAATCATTTTTCCCGCACAAAAAAAACCCGCACAAACTGTATTGGTAAACACTTGTTATTTCTATCTATCTTCCTATGTTGGACAATTGCCTATTACTGATTAAGACTATTCCAACATTTACAAGCCAAAGTAACAATCTGTAAAAGTAATAATTACCTTCTGCCTCCATTGGGATATTGATGTTTGAAGTAGAGTGGCGAAGACATTTTCATCCATATCCTCTTTAACATCCACAGTAACTCCTTCATAATCATCATAAGATGCATTTAGCATATCAACAAAATCATCTTCCTTTGCTAGAACCTTTGATGATTTTTCCATTGTTGTAGCTCTCTAGTTTGGAATGCAATAATAGCTTTATCTCTCGAGCCTGAAATATAATATATTCATTGAGCTTATAAGCATCAAATTAATACCGAGAGATATTAATTAACTTGTACCTTCTAACCACCAAAGTAAGATGTTAGACTTACGTAGAAAACTAATTAAATACTATTATGAAAATGAATCTATGCATGTACTCATTGACCACAAATAATTACGTAGAAAACTAATTAAATGATCGAACAAAAGTCTTTCACAACAACTAAATAAAAAATTAAGGAAATAATTAAGAAATTGTATCAGAAAACAAAGAAAGTCGGCCTAAATATTATATATAAAGTATAAACCCACGATAGAGTCAAAAATAAATAAATAAATACAATTGCGTTCCCAAAAAAATGTATGGCCATAGTCCATGTGATATACTGAAAATTCGTGTTAAGCATAATTTTAAAAAATGTGACACAGATAGTCCTCGTGTTTTCATTTTCTTGCATTAATGCTTTTTCTGGCTAGCTAACACTAGAAAATAATCGTTAAATGCATATAAAATTACCAACATATATAGTCATAATTCTTTTTGTAACACCCAGAATCTTGAGGAATAATTGTTGGGAATAAATCATCTTATTAGGATTGGGTAGTCCCAATGGATAAAGTTTGAAACTTTATCCTTCTGGACCACATTATGGGCTAGATCTGAGCTTTAGAGCTTTTGGAATCGGAGAAAACAACTTAATGCATTAAGTTGTTAAAACCCGGGCAAACATGACATGTTTGCAAGTCAACACGGCGTGTTGGCTAGGGTTTTCCCGACTGTTTAGATGATGGTGAAACACGGCGTGGCCAAGGGGCAACACGACATGTTTGGTCAACATGGACTGTTGACTTTGACTTTGACCAGAAGTTTGATCAAGGTTGACCATAGGATATTTTGGGCCTTTTTTGGATTATTAGGTTTGGGCTTAAGTCCTGGCCCAAAACTAGGTACGGGGTAAATTGGTCATTTACCCTAGTAATGGTCTAATGGTTTGAATGAGAATCCAATTATTAATTGAATGTTATTTGATATTGATAGCTCGGGGATCTGTCAGCCAGCAGCCAGGGATTATCTGTGTGATTCGGCAGTGCGAGGTGAGTTTCCTCATTGGGTTTAGCGAGTCAAAGGCACTAATGTCGGCCCATGGTTTATATGTTGGGATGCTAGATGCTTGCATGACTCTTGCATGTGTTGTGTGATGGTATGCTTCCCGGGCAAGGCCCGATGCCAGGCAGGGCCTGATTAGTATATTGTATGCTAGTCATTGGTATCTGTTTTTATGTTTACCGGGCGATGCTTGATGCCGAGCGGGGCTCGATGACTGTATGGTATGTTATAGTCTTTGTGATTATTGCATGTGCTAGTAAGGTTATATGTTTATATGATTATATGATTATATGATTATGTGTGTATCGGGCGGGGCCCAATGTTAGGCGGAGACTGGTGATTGACAGATCTGTAATCCGAGCGGGGCTTGATGTCGGGCGGGCCCGAAGCCGAGCGGGGCTCGATGTCGGGCGGGGCCCGATGCCGAGTAGGACTCGATACCTGGCAAGGCCCGATGGAGGGCGGGGGCCTAATATTTGATTTATGTTTGTATGGTATGTGGTATCTTGGGGAACTCACTAAGTTTTGTGCTTACTGTAACGCCCCGTTCCTGGTACGCATTTTTTTATTATTATACTTCTTGTTTTAGAAGCTACTCGACGAGTCAGTAGCCCTAACTCGTCGAGTAGCAGCGGGTCTGCACGTGGATTTAGCGTGGCGACTCGACGAGTCTGTTATTCCCGACTCGGCGAGTCCGCCAGTCTGGATGAAACCCTAATTCTAAGGGTTTGTACCATATTTAAACGTCTTATAGCCCCCATCCCAGCCTCCAGCACCTCTAGAACGTTCCCCATCGAAACCCTAACCCTCCATTGGTGAGTTTGAGTGATTCCATCCTATTTTGAGTGATTTTTGTGCTTTCTGAAGTGGTAGAGAAGAAGGAAAGAGAGAAGATTCAAAGGAGAAGAAGTAGATCCAGAAGCTAGCCCTCTTTTGCTACACTTTCTGGTAATCAAGCTTAGCACTTGACTTATAGTTCTATAGATCTTCTTTTTGTCATTTTTATGGAGTTTTGGGTCCAACAAGCTTAATCCTTAAGACCTGGTCGTCCCAAGTCGATTCACCTTCAGATCTAGGTTCTGGAATCGAGTACATGGCATGAGGATGCAAGCTTTATGGCCATGATAGACCATGCACCCCTTTAGACCTCATTTTTGGGTCCTTTAAGCATATACTCCCATGCATACATGTAAAGTTCATAACTTTACGTGCAAGATCGGTCTTAGAAGCCCAAATCTACCTTTTGGATGAGTGTTGTACGTCATAAATTGTGACAACCCGGAACTTTTATCTCGCACACTTAGTCAATCCAACCTAAGTGAAACTGGTTTTGTTGACTTCTTGCACTGTTTGAGGGGTTCGTTTAAGTGATTCTAAGCTTGAGTACAACCAAGGTTGAGGTTAGGAGTGAGTCAACAAGTCGTATACTGTCAAAACAAGGCCATACACACCTTTAGAGGGAGTGTACGGCCGTACACATGGGTGTGCGGCCGCACACACACCTCCTGGCAGCACACTCCCTCCTAGACAGCACACCCACCCTATATAAAGGTAGGCCCCTTTCTTTTCATTCCTTTAACACCTTGGCAGCACACAACACCATTTCTCTCAAGCTTCTTCAACCACAAACCCTCCAAGGCTGCAAAAACGTGAGTAATCTATCCCTTAGCTTGTTGTACTAGAAGGACCACTCCATCTAAGCCTTGATTCATCAAAGTTTCACCATGTTCTTCATCATATGAAGGAGTACGGCCGCACACCTTCATAAGGGTGGCCGTACACTCTTAAAACACCCTCCAAAGTGAGAGTGTGACTCCCATATTCGAGATAGACATGCCCTTAGCCTTCTTGCACCTTGAAAATGGCATTTTGGACATCATCTTGTGGGGTGTACGACCGCACACACCAGTGTACGGCCGCACATACCCTAGTGTGCGACCACACACCCATCCTAGGGCCACAAACACACTTCTAGGACCCCTAACTTGCACTATAATTGAGTATAGACCTAGGATACTTCATGGATTGCAAGTATGGACCTTGAAACACCCCAAGAACACCTTCCATCATGACTGTACGGCCGCACACACACTTGGCCGCGCACACCTTAAAGGTGGCCATACACTCCCCTCATGCAACCCTTTAAGGTCCTAACACTTAGTGCAAGTAGTTCCAAGTCCCTAGAGTGGTTATCCATCACATTTTGTGGTGAAATACCTTCATTTGACTCCCTTATGTATCATTGCATGTTAATTAGGATCAAATCGTGTTCAAGGCTTCACTTGAACGTCCCGCATTTCCGTATCGATCCTTCATTCAAACCACTTGCCCGAGGTGAGTTCATACCCCTACATTTTTCCGTGTTTTTAACGTTTTCAGGGGGAGAATACAAGCAAAAGCATGAGGAAACTTGTGCTCAAAAATATGTTATTTTGTTTAATATAATTATATTTTCAGTATGTTTTTAACAAGGAAAACAGTTTTGCCAACCGATTAAGAAATCAACACGTAGAAACAGTTTTTAGAACTAAGGCAATAATCTTTTGAATCTTATAGTAAAATGTATCATTTTATAAAGGATTCATGATTATCATAAAAAGGATTTTCAGTATTATCACTTGTAAGTTTGTTAGTCTAAGTTTGAGACACGTCCTTGGTAACACTCACCACAAGAAACAGAGTGTAGGACTAGCACTTGTGATCAGAGTCTCTTGTAGGGAGAGCGTGGTTGTTGTGTATAGATCTATATGGGACTGACAATCCCGCACCCCGCTGCTAGCTACAGTCGGACCGGCAGGTCCACGGGTGACAAAGTCATTGAGGATACCGGCTCCAGTACATGCCTTATCCAGTCAGTTATGGTCATGAAACTCAAAACCTAGATAACAGGAATTTACTTTTGTAATAATGAATCAAATGAACTAACCTCAAAGTAATAACCGATAGATTACTGGAGGGTATTAATAATACCTTCAGGAATTAGTTCATCCCGGTTTTCTTTTATTTAGTTTTATTTATGTAATAAGGATAATATACCTCTCTGGGTGTAACCAGAGCTTTTAAAAGAAAACTGCTTTCGAGTATGGTAGATACTTGCACACCTCGGTTTAGAACGGAAAATCAATCATCAACCTTTAGGGAAAATATAGGATTTTTCCGGGATAACCCGGCTATTCCAAACAGGATTGTTCAACATGTAATCAATGGATATTCATACTCCTTCCACGACTCCTTGGATTGTACATATCTGGAAGTCATGGAAGGAATGGGTTTTCAACTATGCTTTTCATAAGAAAATATGGGATTTTCTTGAGGAACACTTTTCAAAAGATTCAAAGAACTCTTTTTCATCAAAACTAAATGCTTATGAACTCACCAGCTTTATGCTGATATTCTTCAAAACTGCTTGTATTCTCAGGGAATTAGTAGGCAGGTACTTTCAGGGATTTGCAGAGGTCGGGGAGTTAGAGTCACGTCTTTCTATTTTTACCTTTGATATGAAAACTATGTATTAAACAATGTAAACCTTTTTCATATATGTATTCAATGTCTGGTTGTGTTTACTATGCTTGCTATGATACAATTGTTGTGATACTACGCATGATGTCCTCCACCCCCGAACGTTTCCGCCGTTCCGGTTTGGGGGTATGACAGAAATCGAGATATAAGGCATGGACAATATCGACTCGGCGAGTCGTTCTTGGGACTCAGCGAGTCGAGAGTTTGAGTCCCCTTTTCTGTTGTGCTTCAAAGGAACCCAAGTCGAGTGTTAACAAGGTTCGGACAAGTTGAGAGGAGTGAGTCGATGTATTAAGATATAGCCACAATCTAGGAATCACGAGACTCGACG